ATTGTACAAAACAAAGAATTTATTTTATTTAAGGCAAAGGATGGTTCCTTACTTGTTGGTCAATTTGTTGAGGTTAAAGAGCAAAGAGTATATTTCACCAACATCAAAAAGTGTCTCTCTTCGGTTCATCCAATTATTGGATATAGATTAATTGATTCAAACATTCATGTAACAACAGGCTATGTTGCACTAAATCAAATAATTGGTAAATGTTTGATTCATAATATTGCTGGCAAAGAAATGTTCAACCAATACTCGTTTTTCATGAATTTCCATAAAGTTAAATTTTAAAAATAGAACTTTTATTAATTTTTGGCTTTGAAGGTGTATTCAACAGCTTCCGACTACCCGCACTACCATCCGGCTGTAACCGGCTACCGGCTACACCACCAACTACATCCACTCTTAGGACCACGATTCACCAAGGCCAGAGCACAAATGGGTTTAAGTTATTAATAAGGCATCACCGAGGACATACTCACAACCTTCTCTCTTGTCTTCACAACTGCATCTGTTGCACTAATCTACAACCAGGTAACAACTAGGTAACAAACACTAAAAACACTAGTAAACTATGATAAACCACTTTAGAAAAAGGAAACACTACCAACAAAAAATCACAACTGGAAGCAGCCATCAATCTTTTCGCTACTATCACACTATTTGAAATACAATAGATCCAAATAACCAGGTTACCTCCATCCATTTTCCCAATTCTTATTGGTTGTTGTTTGTCCTGAGAAAAAGAAAATCACCAACACAACCCCCTACTTTGAATGCTTCTTTAATGCATTTAATTATTTAACCACTAATTCATATCATCATCATGTCTACATTTGAAAATACATCCAACTCTTCTACTAATATATCTGGTCAGTCAAAGAAGAGTGTATCCTCACCGACATCATCTGCTGATCAATCTCTTCGTGTTGGTACAACCACAGCAAGTAAATCACAACATGAAGAGTTTGTCCAACATCCACCACATGTACAACAAAGTTATTCTTCAACCACATCTGTAGCATCACACCATGAAGCCATGTCTACCAATAATACACATGCATATAAAAGCATGTCTCCTTCCTATGCAAGTCCAGTCCATCATGTTGGTCCTGTTGCCACTAGTACTATTACTACTAACTATCAAAATAGCTCCACAACCGATAGTTCTCAACAAGGAGCAATAAGCAACCATCGTTTATCCAATCATAGAAACTCTCCGCCAACAAGTGCATCCTTCATTTCCAGAGGCCAAACTTTTGTCCAACAAGAAAATGAATCAAACCACTTTAATAACAACACAACAAAAACATCCAACAACCAACACGTTCCTTCTTCATATCCATTGCATCATCAACATTCTAGCATGGTGAATGGTAACAGTGTTGGTGGAAACGGTACTACGACAAATCATTCTAACAACAATATGGCAAGCATTCATCACCACGATCAAGACAAGATTGCATATCATTCAAATCAAAGTATGAATAGTACTAATGCATCATACAGTATGAACACTAATTCATTTGATAACATGGGTTCG